TCCCCTATTTGTCCAGGGGGCCTCCTATTTGTCCAAGGGACCTGTTATTTTTCTAGGGGGCCTCTTTGCCCAAGAGGCCTCCTATTTGTCCAGCGTGCCTCCTACATGTTCAGGGGGCCTCCTATTTGTCCAAGGGGCCTCCTATTGGTTAAAGTAGCCTCTTATTTTCCAAGCGGCCTCCTATTTATCCAGAGGGCTCCTATTTTTAGGGGGCCTCCTCTTTATCCAGGGGGCCTCCTTGTTCAGGGGGCCTCTTAATTGTCCAGGGGCCTCCTTTTGTGAAAGGGGCCTCCTATTTGTCCAGGTGGCCTCCTTTTGTGAAAGGGGCCTCCTTTTTGTCTAGGTCTAGGACCTTCTATTTGTCCAGGGGGCCTCCTATTTTTGCAGGGGCCTCCTATTTGTACAGAGGGCCTCCTACTTGTCCATGGGGCCTCCTATTTGTCCAGGGGCCTCCTTTTGTGAAAGGGGCCTCCTGTTTGTCTAGGTCTAGGACCTCCTATTTGTCCAGGGGGCCTCCTATTTTTGCAGGGGGGCCTCCTATTTGTACAGAGGGCCTCCTACTTGTCCATGGGGCTTACTATTTGTCTAGGGGCCTCTTATTTGTCTAGGGCCTCCTATTTGTCCAGGAGGCCTCCTACTTGTCCAGAGAGCCTCCTATTTCTCCAGGGGACTTCCTGTTTTCCGGGGGCCTCCTACTTGTTCAGGGGGCCTCCTACTTGTTCAGGGGGCCTCCTACTTGTTCAGGGGGCCTCCTACTTGTTCAGGGGGCCTCCTATTTGTCCAACAGGGCCTCCGATTTGTCCAAGGGGCCTCCTATTTAAACAGAGAACCTTTTATATGAATATCGGACCTCCGTTTGCAAAGTAGCTGATGCGTCTCGGGGGCCTCCACTATTGGGGTCCCAAAATGACAATTGGGGTCCCAAATGTTCGCATTGGGGTCCCACATGGGACCTCGAAAGTATACAAAGTTACACCCATGCTGGCTGACTTTTTATGGTAAGTGATCACTGCTACTCTCTTCATCCTCATTTCCTCCCACATTGAAGCGAACTGAGGGACATGAAGGGAATATGCGAGTGTGTGATAAAGGGAGGATGGTATGTATTAACCACGATTGCCTACCTGATGATAATTCCAGGCTTCTTGCGTACCTATATGAGCCTGGACCTGGCTCATTACTGGATACAAAACCAGCCGTAGACATGCTATCTCGTTCCATAAGTCAATCCTGTCCTCCAAATGTTGATGCCGATGCCGGCACACCGGCGTTCTCCACTGTGCGTCCTCATACACAGACGCTGCCGGTCGCTATTGTTGTCGAGCCGACATCAAACGGCGCCGCGGCCGGCGGCTTTGATGTGTCGCGCTGCACGTGCGGGCTGACCCCCCGAGCTGACCCCCCGGCAGACGCCAAGGGGGGGGGGAGGGCTCACCTGATTGGCCGCGTGTCTGGAAGTAGAAGACAGTTACCGATCTGACGTCACTCGTCAGTGTGCGTGGCCATGAGCTGTGAACTGGCTGTGTTTTTGTGCAACTGAGGTGATAGTGTGTTGCTATACTTTAACATTAATCTCAAGTGAGGCGCCTTCCAGTTGTTCCATAGAGTAGTTTCGATGGTGTGTGATACTCTGAGCGGTCGGACGAGAATGTTGTATCCGTTTTTGAACATGGGGAAACTGGCCGCTCTGCGCCGTCGCCGCAACTATCTCCTTTACAAGGAAAGATTAAAGAAGTCTGTTAATGATGACTGGGAGCAGCTGGACTCTGAAATATGGGTACGTTTAAGTGACAACTGTTCTAGTATTTACCTTCAGGCTTCATGAGTAGTTTTGTATTCATGATATGCGCTTAAGACATTTCTGCTACAGGTAGCCTCATAATTTCTTGCCGGTGGCATCCTCGTGGATGTCTTTTTGGCACTGAAAAATTGGAAATGTCTTAAGGTTTGGGATATTTTTTTTTTAGACACAATTTGCAATTTAAATATTTCCCAAAATATTAGCATTATGATGTCTTAAGTGAATCTGGATTATAAGCGGAGGTTTCCTGGTCACCAGCTATCTGGTATTCTTTTCTCGTTGATTCGCGAATTTGCGACCAAGGCAACATGATATGCAACATGCACATTTTTTTAACAAAAGTCAGATAGTATTCCAAAGGCTCGGCTCTATCCCCTCGTCGGACGTCGCATTATCGGCAGCCCCTTGCCGTTTTACCCTTTTAGCTATTTAGCATTAACCATAGACTTCTGTGATGTCCGTCCGTCTGTCCGTAACCCACTCGGGCAGCATTGACATTTAGTTTGATTGCTTTCGTATCGGCTGTCCCTTCAATAATTGCTCAACCATCCCAATAGACATACAAACAATCGATCTAAATATTTACAGTTTCAATACCCGGGTCCCGGATGGGCACACCGCTGCCGCCAGTGTCACGGTCGCTACGGGCACACGGTTCCAGGCCCCCTGACGTGAACATCTCGAGACCAACTCTACCCCAGACATCTGAGTTCGGATGCCCTCTCGTGGCAATTAACTATAAGCACCAGCACCAACTTATCTCAGACACCGAAAACCAAGGTGTTCCGAAATGCATCTGTATCTTAGTTGACTAACTGATAATAACGAACTTCAGTTTCAATTTCAAAAGCGATTATTCAATCAAAACCGAGTTTACTGAAAACTGATGTTCAATGTTCAGGGATCTTACTTGAATTATCTTCTAATATCTCTAGCTGTATTTATTATTATTTTTTTCTTTATACAAATTTCATTTCTGCGCTGGCTTTCCCAAATTTATGCACCCGCTGCTACCGTCGCCTCGTCAGTCAGTTTTCCTTCGCTTCCGGCGTATTCTCATTTGCTCTGCTGCATCTAATCTCCCCTGTCTTCCCGCCAGTCTCTCTCTCTCTCTCTCTCTCTCTCTCTCTCTCTCTCTCTCTCTCTCTCTCTCTCTCTCTCTCTCTCTCTCTCTCTCTCTCTCTCCCTCCCCCCCTCTCTCTCTCTCTCTCTGTCTCTCTGTCTCTCTGTCTCTGTCTCTGTCTCCGTCTCTCCCTCTCCCCGTCGTTTGCTCTCCTGCTCTCTCCGCTCCGCAAATGCTCGTGGCCACTGGCGATCTTTCTGCCTATAAGTCCAGGGGAGAGAGGGAGGGTGAAGGGGCGAATATGGATGGGAACGGGGAGGGATGCGAGTACCAGAATGGCATGGATGTGAATAGTACTCGGCCCCGAGTGTAGTTATTAATCTAAGACTCGGTGTAGCGTGGTAAAGGGTCAGACAGCCGTGTGATGTATACCAGCGTAGCGCTACTGTCTCGTCCCCTGTTTCCATTTCCTCTTTCCGATCCTCTTTGGTCCTTCTGTCTTCCTTTTTCTCCTATCTTCATCCCTCCTTTCCTATCATCTACTCTATTATCTCCTCTCCTTTCGTTTTCTCTTTCCTCTTTTCTGCTCTTCTCTCCCCCTCTCCTCTCCCATCCTCTCCTTTCCTTTCCTTTCTTTTCTTTTTCTCTCCTCTCTTGTCTCATCTCATTCTCGCCCTCTCTTCTCTTCTTTTTTTGTCTCTCGTCTACGGCGCCAGCACAGGCGGCAAAACGGATCAACTTCACTGGTACGGCTGGTCTTCAAACATTTTGAAATTGGCGCTGATTTTCTGCTTTACTTCCTTCTTTCTATTAATGACTTCATGAACTTGTTCTTTACACAGGCCAGCATTAATAAGGCCTTTTTTATCTTGCCGTTTTACGGAGACATCTAACACTTTGTGGTGCTTCCACTTGCTGTGATGAAGCTGGGGGTTTTGACTTTTGAGACACAATGGCTCACATTTTCTCTTTTGTCACGTCGCTCGGAACTCACTTTTCGTGACAGAAAGTTATTTTTGTCGATTGCTGCTTGGTCGCGTAGAATATCGTCGGGCCGAATAAAACACTTTGGTGATGGAATCGACAAGGCAGAAAATTTCTCGTTCAACTTCTGAGATAAGCGCGCCGCGGCGCCTTCTGATCAGACAACGGCGGTGGGCTTCCAATATGTTTGAAGATAGTACCTAAGAGCCTAGAGGTGCTTCGATATAGGCAAGCTGCTTTTGCACCAATTGGCGATTATTGTTTTGTACGTGTCCTGATGAATGAAATAAATTTATTCTATTCTATTCTTTTCTATTCTACTCTATTCTATGCCATGTGTTTGATGATGTCACCCTCCTTTTTGAACAAATTTAGGCAAACCTTGAAGGCCCGGGCGAAATTTCAAACCCCAAGCCCAAGAGGCAGAATTTGGGCAGAATAACGAAAGGTCTTGAACTCTTGAGAAGACACTTCACTGCCACAATTTTGTAGTTGAGCTGTCGCCCGCAGTTATCTCATGCGTACGACGTTGCGCAGCTCTGCGACACCCACATCCGGGCTTACCATAAATCTAGTCTAGACACGATCTCCGTATTTAATTATCGTCTGGGCCACGTCGTTTGATGTTTCACTCTGGTATTCTGGGATCACGCTGTCCCCACTGCCCCCCCCCCGCTCCCCCCCGCTCGACTGACACCCTCCCGGCCTGGGGCCCGGGCCGAGCAGGGGAGGGAGCTCTGCGCTGCCCAGCGGCAGCGGGTCGATGCCACAGGGCTGCTATTGGGGCGCCCCTTCCCCCCAGTCCCCTGTCCGGCACCCCCGGCGGCGGCATCTGCGCGCAGGGGCGGCTCCAGGGCGGATATTTAGGGGGGGGGGGATGCAAGAGTTGAACAGCCACAGTACATACATTGAACAACCAGTGAAAGGCTAGCTAAGTTTCACCCAGCTTGGCTGTGCTAAGACTCATTTATGACTGTAAATGATGTAAAAATGACAGCTCATTTGTGACTGTACCCGTAACGCCACCCCTCTCATCTGCCATCTCTCGTTGACGTATCCCGATGGCGTCATCGTGACGTCACGCCTTCCTTCCGTCGGCTGCCAGGCCCGGGGCGAGCCCGCCGACGCCGACGGCACTCCCCCCGGACACCCCGACAGAGCACAAACCCGAGCGTCGGCTCCGTGGCCCTCAGTTCGTCGCTCTCGACGCTCTCAGTTCGTCGCTCTCGAAGCTGTGCTGGCGGCGTGGCCGGGAACGCCAGCTGTCGGTTGGGTACAGCTGTGCCGACGTTGGGGGTTTGTGACGTTCGCAGAGTGAGAACAAAGGTTGGCGGTGTGGTGGTGCAACGTTCGAGGCTGATCGAACCGCTGTGACTCCCTGGACAATTTGAAAGTGGGAAACTTCGTGTGTGAGACAGCCTATAGCTGTGAGCTCGGGAGTTTAACAATCTTCAGTGGACCACGTTATCCTGCCTGTAGCCTGTATTCCATCCAAGTCCGGCCAATAGAGAAGTTGAGCCGTCGGAGGATTCAATAGTCCGGATACTCAGGATTGTGTGTGCTCTGAGACTCCTCACTGCTATCCAGAGTCGATTGTCGGCTATCTCACTGACGTCAATAGCGACGGAACAGCTGCTCTGTTCGGGTCAGTCGGCTCAGCGCCCCAGGTCATGTACGAAATGGCCGGTCAAGAGGTCAGCGCCTTTGACCCGGCCGCCGGCCAGCTGAGTCAACTCTATCAGCTGATGCCCGGAGTCATGACTCCCTATCAGGTGAGACTGAGTTGTGAGTCTGTGCTGGAGAAGTCACCAGTGGTTTGTTCTGAAGTCTCGTACTTTATTGTATGGAGGATATGTGAAGCTTATCTCCTGTTGCTGATATCAGTATCATTGGTTGTCGTTGGTTTGCTCCGATTCTTACTTTGCTCCTGATTGTTATTCGACTCTGACTCTGACTCCGAACCCATCACAACTTTCAACCTTGTTCCAACCCCATTCCCACACAAAATGCACAGATGTATCCTTTTCATGCAATGTCCACAAAATGCCTTTTTCCATTTCCATCCTATTCATAGAGCTGTGTTTACCAGTAAGCAGAGTCCGATGCCTTTTTTTACTCCGTTCATTGGATTCCATTTCATTCATAGGTCAGTCTAATGAATGAATACCCAATTATCCAATGAAACTAAACCCTACCATTGCACGGGGTGCCGTGGTCCATTGGTGCCGCTGAGATGTTGGCTCGGTTACCCGCGCTGCTGCGGGTTTTGGCGCGGTCATCTGACGGCGGTCATTCGTTCCGCGAAACATGCCGAGAGCTGCCAATTGCAATAGTCCGGAATCTGGAATATTGTCGCTCCGACGCTCCGAACGATCAGGAACATCGACACCTGTAATTGTCACGAATAGCTCAGTCGTTATGTTAATCGGAATTGGAGTCGTCTCATGCCTTGCTGTTTGTATCTGCGGAGAGCTGATTGTTTTCGGGGTAATGCCTGATGCTTTTGTTGTTGTTGTATCCCATTCAACGCAAGAAATGTCCTGACATCTGATGAATGTTGGGAAATTAGACATCAGCCTCTGTTTTCTCTTCAAAATCAAAGTCATCTACGTTGTAGACTAGTTTTTGTTGGCACATGAGCGGTCCGCAGAATTCATTACCCGACGCCAAACAAAAGTCGCTCACATTGAGGAGTGACATGACTTCTGAGTCGTCTGATTCTGTCGTGAGGCGTGAGATGACGTCTTCCGCTCATCGCTCGCTCTGTGGAGGTCCTGGCGGTCCTGGCGCGCGTGCGGGTCTCTCCGCCCTGCCAACTGTCCCGCCGCCCCGCCCCCGCCCCCGCCCCCGCCCCGGCCGACGGTTGGTCGGCGACCGTGTCCGCTCATTATTTCTGCGCACAGGTCATTACAGCTACCGGCCAGTGGGCTGCCACGGCGGTGGCGACGGAGCGGAACCGAGGGGGGGGGAGGGAGAGAGAGAGAGAGAGAGAGAGAGAGAGAGAGAGAGAGAGAGAGAGAGAGAGAGGGGTCACAAAATATTCCCCTTTGCCAAATATTCCTCCGTGTGTGTAGGTAGAAAATTTATGGAAACGGGGTGGTAGCTCGGGGAGATAATGAGATAATGTTGGCGCCGGGGCGGGGCGGGGTGGGGTCGTGCGTTGGACACGGCTCTGGTGACGCGCCAAGCGGCGTCTCCTGCACGCGACGTCCGCGTGCTCACCCCCCCCCCCATGGTGACCCCGCGGCGGGGGGGGGGAGGAGGGGGCCCCTGGCAGCCCCGACTGCTGAGCCAGTTTACGGTACCGCCGGCGTCTGCTGAGGTGTTTGCCAAAAAGAGCCGCGCGCGTGCGGTGTGTGGAAATGGGGCGCTTTTCACACGTAATCTGCCTGTTTTTGTTGGGGTCCGGGGGTGGATGGAGTGTTTTTCTGAGCTGCGTTTTTGTTTCTAGAAGAGATGCTGAACTGCCTCTTCGTTTTTTGTCGGTGTTTTTACTTTTTGAGGTGTGGGATTCCTCCAGTCAATTAATTGTTTTATTTTATGGTTAATAAGCTCCGTAATGCATTGAAAGTTTTCTTAATCATTGTTAACAAAGTTAAAAAATAATGGAACCTAATTCATCCTGCAAACACAGATACTCGTATATGAAAAAAGTAGCACTCCCCGGCATTTTCTGTTTTATTTCCGATCTGCCTGTCCAAATTATGACGGGTTACTGGATGCATATGTGTTCGGCAGAAGCCAGAGTCTGGTCATTTTAAACAGCAATACTGTGACGATAACGGACCTAGGATGAAGCTATCGCCCCTGCTTTTGTACCCTGTTTTCCAAGCCATGGTGTGCCAAAAGTGGAAATAGCCGCCCGGCTTTAGTTCGCCAGCCTTGTCAATAGATGGCAGTACCACAATATGGGCAGCGGATCGTGCAATTGACGTCAAATTTTCGTTATCTGCTAAGAATTGAATGGCGGATCTTTTCATGCAAGAATCAAGTAAATCGGTCCACAAATTTTCTAGCAACAGAGATATGAAGTCAAACACCCTGCCAGACCGGCGGCGCGGCGGCCGGCGGCAGCCGTTACGCGCCGCCTGGGAGACTGGCGGCGCTGAACGGTTCCGAATTGGCACTGCACTAAAACCTGTTAACTGCTTGGAATAGTTATTATAGCAAAATTTTCATTCAAGTGAGGAATAACCAAGGGCAGGAAGTATGTATGCTTGTGTGCGTACTATGTAAGCCAAGAAACTGCATTAGCAGATACTCGCTAATATTAGATCCAGCCAAGTCCAAACGCATTCCAGGTGATGTGTTTCTGATGGGTCAACAATATTTATCGTTCGAGGGCAGACACAGTTTTAACAATACAAAAAATATTTTTGCACAGCTCTATTCCTTGAATAATTCTCTTTAACGCCTCATTCCTAGTTAAGCGAATAAGCCCACCCTGGCTGAATTAATTAGGCGATTTCGCCACAAGGTCGGGGAAAACCGACCGAAAACGGCCGCGCTCAACGTTAATTTGGGCATGCAGACTCTTAAAGGGAGATTATGACCTTTTTCCACAAAATCTGAGTTAGGACCATTTTCTGACAAAACACAACAAGTTATAATGTAAATTAAAACCATTTTGCTCAATTCGGTACCTTGCCGCAAATATCTCAACTTGAAGTCACGTTAGCGGGGAGCGCTGAAAATGACCGTTGAATAAGTACTTACATCACTTTTTGATACTTGCATGTAATTTTGTAAAATCAGCGTATTCATTACATTTGATCTTCATCACATCTAGTTAGTTAATGGTCGTCTATAGTGCCTTCAAAAGATATTCATGGTTTGGGGGTGGTTTATGTCTAAATTTACGCAACTATTTTTCCTGTTCATCATCTGTCGCCATATGCTGCTATTTTAGTAGCAACGACTCAATTTTGAATCGGTCCCGCCGACTGCACAATAAAAGAAGATAGATACAACACTTTTGCGGCATCACTGAAAAACTTATGCAGTACTGTTATCAAAATTCTCATAACACCGTTCGACAAACCTGAAGTCTTTTTGAAATAAATATGCTTGTATTTTTCGCTTCAGGCTCTGAGGCCAAAATAATGAATTTCGTAGTCGCAATCGCAAGATTTGGCTGCGATTCTGGCGCATGCCGTTCATTTGTGGCGCAAAATAATACTTGGAAACAAAGAAGAGTAGGCACTATGTACCCCCGAATTAGAATCTAATTAATTCTAAACCGAATTGACTCTAATTCAAATTAGAATCCTTACAACCAAGCAACGACAAGGCGATAACATAAACAAAAACCCAAGCGTCGCTGTTTGAAACAAAAGCGCCATATACTGCGACTTTTTTATAGAGAAGGACAACGCATTTCGGTGGGTGTTACAAGTACTGCAAGTACTGCTTCTTTTTTGCAAAAATAAAAACCTTTTTCATATACGAAAATGTGCTAGGAAATTTTCATATTTTATAGAAACTACAGTAGCAATAGTATAGATGTCGAGTAATTTTTATTTAAGAAAAAAGAAAGCTCATAATCTCCCTTTAAAAACTCGCATTGGGCGGGCAGGGTTTCCCAGGTATTGGCTCCAAAACACCGTATTCGGCTCCCGAATACGTCCAAGTGACCCGCCTCGTTCCTAGTTAAAGGGACCCTCCCACCTTCAAAAAAGCTAATGAATTGGCATGAAAGTGATGTCGCTCGGTTCAGAAAGAGCAAAAACCAATATCTACCAAATTTCATCGAAAAATATTCACCGGTTTTCAAGATATTAGACTTTTACTTTTGTTTACTTTTTGGGATCTCCGCTGTTCCTAGCGACTTTATTTAAAAGTGCGGCATTTGTTGCGCGCAAAGCAGCATATACCACCGCGTGCTACAAAACGTTTTAGTCAAACATTTAAAAATCGTTAGATATCTGCGATGACGTCACACATTCAGAGGGGTATTCCTAAGCATTAGCCCCTCTGAATCAAAATGCTGCAATTTTGAAATTCAATATTTCCGATTTAAGGCATTTCTCGATGTTGTGAGTGCCGAAACCGGTAATTGTGAGCCAGGGACCCCATTTTGGCTATCTCAACTCAAATCTAATGTTAAGGTGGGAGGGTCCCTTTAAGCTCTTCTTAGATCAAGTGACTCATAGGGAGCGAGAAAGCGACAAAAAGCATGAATTTCTCTATGGCGGCGGGCTGCCGGGTTGCCAGACGGCGCACCGGCTATTTCCACTTTTGACACACCATGCATTTATTGCACCACCTCGCTTAAATTGCTTCCGTGGGTGGCAGATGATGAGATGCTCCTTTGTTGGATATAATGAAATATAGTCGCATTAATTTTTTCCCGCTGTGCCATTGCCCGGATGCTGTTGTGCGTTTAAATCCCGAATGCGTTGGTGTGTTGGTTAAATGCAACACGTTCGTGTTGTAATGCTTGGAATTCGTTTCGAAATACCTACAAGCAATTTTTTACAGCAACTTGCGGGAGTAATAAGAAGGCTCACTGGTTTTGGTGCACTGTTAAATTTTTGTCGACTTTTGAGCCCTTTTGTCTCGAGGGTGAACCGTTGCCTGACAGAGATTCTCAATATCTCAACGTACGGTTTTTATTCATCGTATTCCGTTCCCTTGATGTTGGACGGAAACTGTTCGCATTGCGGTATGTTGTGGCACGTCTCGTGATGTCCAGTATTATTATAGTCCAGTATTATTATAGTCCATTATAGTATCCGCTTCGGTAACAGCTCTTTTTGATTTTTTTGTAATA